CGACAAGACACACATTCTCATTTATTTCAGCTCTCGTCTTGAGTGAATCTTTGTATTGTTTCAGCCCTACAACAACCCACAAACCAACCCAATGAAGCAGATAAAACCCCACCTACAAAGTCAAAACCAAGTGATTTTAACAAGACATGAAAATGACTAAACAGGACTGAATCGACTAGACAACACACTCCCTGACTGAGAGGCACGTCACTGCAGTCCCAACTCCAAAAGCCTCCACTCCTCCTGAACTCAGCACTGGGCTTTTTAACACTGAGGCCAGGTGTACCTCACCTGGGCAGAGCTGAAGTCAACAGAAGATCAACATGTCCACGTTCAGTGAAAATAAAGAGAACATGTGAAGCAATATAAGCGCGTTCAAACTCCACATAGAACCATTAAAATATGATTACATCCTGATGTAAAGTTAAACTTTCTGATGGAAACAGCTGAAAGAAATAATCAGACAGTGCAGGATTTAGAAACCAGGGACACAGCTCGGCTCACAGGTTTTTTTTGTCTGTGTAGCAGCGTCCTCATGTGGACAAACAGCAGAGCTACACCAGACTGCTGCTGACCTTTGACCTGACAGAGCTGAATCACAAACTGTTACAGCCTCCATCAAATCCATCTAACAGAATAGAAAAAACACAATCCATTTACAAAATAAAGTACTCTGCGTATGGATCATGGAGGACATAGCATTCCCCTTTTCTACCTTTTCAACGCTCCGTTTTGGTGTGTGTGTCTCTTTAAATGCAATGAGCCCCCCCTGAATTTTCCCGGTAGACATCACTCGTCTGTAGCGAGAATAAAAATGGTGGACCTGCACAAAAGTTTTGTTCTATGCTGGGGGTGGACTTCATGGGTGGAGATACCAGAGGAGGGGAGTGGATTTTTTTTTTTACCAGAATCCCACTGTGACATCACAAGGAGAGCAAATCTGAAGCAGAGCATTTTTTTCTGTGTTGTCAGACTTATGCAGACCACAAACAAAGGACTGGATGGGTTTATTTCACATGTTGTGGGTCAGTAGACACTCAGGTTACCCAAATATATGTTCAAAAACACTGTAGAAGTGGATTTTTCATAATATGTCCCCTTTAAATCTCATCTGATAAGAATCTAAAATCTGGATTTCTAAAAGTGAATAATAAGAAGGAAAAACACACCAGTATATATTAAAAACATGCAGCCTGCTTCTGAGTTTCCTGCAGCTACTGTTAGTTACACTATAGTTTGAAGCTAAAGACGCCATCATAAAGCTGTGCATGTATTTAAAGGTGGTGAGCACACGTGTTGTTCAGGTCTTTACATTGTGTTGACTGTAAATGTCATGCAGATATTTTTAGATGAACAGAAAACAGGATCATTCACAGCTGTTTGGATTTTTCTTCCTGAAACAAATAAACACAAAAATTACGAGAATGATTATTTAGGTTAATAAAAAAATTCAAAAGTCAGACCATCTGAATTTTTTTTTTCTGCTTGTAAAACCAAAAACATCACAAACCCAGCTTGATTTTCTGTTTATCCCACAAATCACATCATATCATACCATATCGTATTGTATCATATCCTAAAGTGTTGTACTACTATTCCATTAAACATTTTTTTCTACGTTTAACTTAACTGCATTTGTCTGATAAATTCCTCTACATATTGTTATTTTTTTAAATGTTACCAATGATCCATCGATAATCATAATCTATTGTCCTGCACAGTAAGAACATTTACTTTAATACTTAAGAATATTTTTTAATGCTTCTGTACAGACTTTTACTTCCAACAAGGTATTTTTCACTCTGGAGTATTCTAACTTACACGTCTGTTTTACACATCATTGATCCATTGCCGGTGATAAAGAATAAAACTAAATCTTTGTGAGTTTGCTCTCCACCTGATCAGAATGAAACTTCAAAAATCAAGTGTGACTCCATTAAATCTGTGAGCACAAAAACATGAGATATTTTGTGTTATGATATAAGAAACGATAACAAGAAAACGTGTGAGCTGAATACATGCTTTGGTGTAAGAGGGAGGGGGCATCATATGACACACAGACACACACAGCAGGGGTCAAATCTCAGCCGGTAAAAATAGCACTTTGTGTCACACAGAAACACACACGCCGTCACATCTGAGTAAACAAGCTGGTGAAAGAGAGCAGGACGTGAGCAGGGACTCTCAGGTAAGAACACACCTTCTTATTTGTCTTTAAACAGGTTGATGGTGATTTGTGTTGTTCTGTACATTCTGATGGGTCACATTGAGAGAGGACGGGTTACAAACACACACACAGAGGAAATACGACTTTGAAACCGAGGATACAGACGGATTAGCAGCTCTTAAAATGCTCCTTCATAAACAGCCAGTAGATACAACATAACTGAGGCTTAATGGGAAGCCGAGTTCCAGCTTCTTTATCTCTTACAATATTTCTTTATAACAGTTGTACTCAGCCGTGTTAGACCTAAGAGCCACAATAAAAAAACCTTTCTGTCCTAAAATATGTGTAGGAAACAAGGTGAAATGACTTGCAAAGAATAATTTCTGCTTATAATGTTTCCATTTTATAAATAATTACTGGATTTTTTTTCTCCAAGTAGGACCTAAAAGAGCCACATGTCACTGTTTTATAACATGTCTTTAATAACATAAACATTAATAACATTAAGCAAAAGAGCAAGTTCAGGTTGATACAGCACAATACGATTAAATTATGATTAGACAAGACAAGATATGATTCAATTATGATACGACACAACATGATACGATACACTTCATTGTATCCTATCGGAGCATGTCTAGATGTTAAGCGTGTGCATATTGTAATCTCTCAGTAATCTTTGAGGTTCATCCTCTGAGGCTCATAAATGTCTGAACTCAGCTTTCCGACAATCCAGCCGATATTGTTTTAAGAAAACGAGAACAGAACATCAGAAATTGTTGAACAACAGATAACTTCATACATACTTATCTAAAATGGAATCAAACTAAGATAAGAGAAGTGGAGAGAGTGAAACTAAGTTTAGTTAAATTAAGCATATAGCATCGATTATCATCTGCATATTGGCAAATGTTGTCATATTTCCATTGTTTTTATCAGACCAAAAAACACAGCTCATACAAGGCAGATAGAGAAGAGGAAAAATAAGTCTTAAGAAACTTTTTAAACATAGACCCTCTCTTGTAGCTCTGAACTTCTCTGTTGGCAGACTCATCAGAAAAATTAGCAGCTTCTAAACCGTCCAGCAGTCGTAATGTTTGTCGTATTCACGTCTGAGACTCACTGCTGCAGGGAGGTCAGAGTGCAACGCTTATACTAACAGTGTCACAATGTTCAATAAATAAGTGACTGGACCCGACTGCAGAATGAAAATATATTTCATATTTCATATTTCATATTTATTTCAACAAAAAGGCGAAAAAAGGCTTAAGACAAAAAAGTCCAAACTGAAAAAAATCCATAAACAGTCAAAAGCACAAGGAACCACAAGATATCACAGGTAGAAAGACAAAAGACCACTGGGAAAATCTGACAGGTGAGACAAACGACACAGGTGAAGAAAATAAGGGCAATCTGAACTGGAGGGAAACACACAGAGGCAGGAAGAATGATGAGAAATACTGGGATCAAGAACTACAAAATAAAACAGGAAACACTGAAGACTAAATTAGAGAACATTAAGATAAAGAAACTCACAAGGGAAACAAGTAACACCAGGAAGAATGAGACAAAATAAAACTCTGAGAATATACAAAATACAAAACTAAACAAGATCAAATCATGACATGGTTTAATTAAAGGACTGACACCACTCTGTTACAAGAAAAAGCCCTGCAGTGACAAAGCTCCCTGAATAAATGAATATTTAAAGACAATAGTTGATTACATGGATCACAGGTCTCGGAGGATAAACAGAAGCTGAATCATGTCTGATACATTCAGGTAGAAGAAGTTATTATTAGTGTATGAATGACCAGGTATCACAGGTTCATGTGCCTACATGCAGCACACAGAGGAGTGAGAAAAAAAGAAATAATACACCATATTGGAGCAGATTTTCAATATAATATGTGGTGTTGTGTATGGGATCTCACAGGGTGATTTATGGTCATCTAGGTAGGAACCTTTGTTACCGGTCAGGTGTTCCTGCCGGAAGGGAAGACAGTCTTTTGACCATTGAGCAGTGGCATTCAAGAGTTAAAATGGACACATTATCCACCTTTTCAAACAGTCTCCTGTGGGCTAAATGAAACATCTGTGCTGTGCTTTGGTCAAAACATAACATGAATCAAGCACCAGAGGAGGTTTGTGACCCTGTATAAACCAGCTCTCTCAGAACGCTCCGTTTTGGTGTGTGTGTCCACAGAAATGCAATGAGCCTCCCCAAAAAAGTTTGGTCTAGGCTGGGGGTGGAGTCCATGGGTGGAGATACCAGGGGAGGGGAGGGGATTTTTTAACCAGACATTGGACGCTGTGACATCACAAGGAGAGCATATTTGAAATGGAGCATTTTTCTCTGTGTTGTAAGACTTATGCAGACCACAAACAAAGGACTGGATGGATTTATTTCAGATTTTGTGGGTCAGTAAACACTCAGGTTACCCAAATAAATGTTAAAAAACACTGTACAAGTGGATTTTTCATAATATGTCCCCTTTAAAAGCTGTTGTTTTTTGGAATCGAGATATGGACATGTTGAGCCAAATGGAAGTAAATAAATGAATGGCATGATCAACACGGAAATTTGACTTGGACTTTCATTCATCTGACAAGGTAACGTTAGTGCGTCAATTAGTAAATCCAGGTTTAGCGCCTCAGCGGCTTAAAGCGTTGGCTTAGCCTCAACATACCTGATACTAGAACATCATCTAACCAGAGGATCATTGTTTATAATTTTGGACATTTTTTCCCAATCAGCTGGAGACACATTGCATGACAGTGCATTTTCCCAGTATAGGGGATCTTAATCTTTTCTTTCCCTCCAGGAGCAGAGATGGGTTTGGGGAGGAAGCTGGACGTCCCGGTCTGCGATCTCTCTCTGCTCAAGGGGATCTGGGAGGTCCGAGTGAAGAAACACAGACAGAGACAGAAGAAGGAGCAGGAGAGGGTCGAGAAGAGCGCGCTCCCAAAGTAAGACGATCACAGCTGTAAAGTTAGCTGTCAGCTGTCACAGTCTGTTAGAGAAAACACACAAGTACTGAGGACCTACAACAACTCATTAAATTAGTGTAGAAAAAAAGTCAGAAAGACAGATTCATTACCTCAAAAAGATTTAAAAGTAGAGGCGTCCAAATATAAGATATTTTGCCTTGATAGATTTGAATTTAAAGTATGCACAACAGTCCATGTTTGTGTGTGTGTGAGCAGTATTTACCCTCTCACACTTCTAAACTGAACCTGAACTTTAAGTTTACAAATCCCCCACCAGCTGTGAACAAACTGTGTAATGAAAGTCACAGTTTCACCTCTGAGTCAGACCTGTGCATAGCTGAGTCGTCATGAACTAAGAGAGTCATGGCTGATATTAGTAATATGAACACACACACACACGCTGCTATTTATATCCTAACATCAGCGCTGTGGTACACGACAGGTCAGCGTCTAGCCTCCAGACAGCAGCAAGGTCACGAGTTTGGAGAATGAAAGGGAACATCCAGTCTGTCTGGATACTGATATGACTCTAATATGAAGCCGCAGACGCTCCATTAACACATGTGTTTGTGTGTGTTGTGTGTGTGTGTGTGTGTGTGTGTGTGTGTGTGTGTGTGTGTGTGTGTGTGTGTGTGTGTGTGTGTGTGTGTGTGTGTGTGTGTGCAAAGAATCGACCAGCAGTGGCAGTATCGTATCTACTGTAAGACACTGAAGACTCAAGAACGTAACCTGCTGCATCATTACCTGGAGAGATCTACACTGAGTGATTTACAGCCCTACACAGGTAAACATGACAGATACACAGGTGTACACAGGTAAACATGACTTATAAAACATGTGAACACACAAGAATATACAGTCGTACACAATGGAACATACAGAGTTCCTCAAAAAGTCCCTAGTTTTGGGGGATGGTTTTGGGGCTGTATTTATTATTTATAAATGTAGCCGTTTACAGCGTACTCCAGCTGTAATAGTCTTTACTTTGATACTTTCTTTTATATTTGTTGTTAATGTATTGTTGTTTTGTCTATATACGCAGATGATGTGTTGTTGTATTTTATTAATGTTAATGGTGGTTCTGTTTATCTGTCAGAAGCAGAACAGGAGGATCAGAAAGACCCACAGGATCAGAAGGATCCAGAGCAGAGCAAACTGACCTTCCGGCTGGATGGAGATCATTGGACGGTTAGCGAACGCGTTCAGGACTGAATCAGATATTCTACAATTTCATCTATGAGACAATACCTGGTGAATATTGAGCGAATAATCTTTTGCAGGAGTTCCCCAAAGAGCTGCAGTGGATGACCTACCTGAAGGAGTGGCACGTCACAGGGACACAGATCCATAAGATGCCTGACTACCTGGCGTGCTTTACCCAGCTTACAGTGCTCGAGATCCCCAAAAACGTCATCGCAGAGCTGCCGCCTGAGATCGGTAAGGATCATACACAAGATGCCAAACGTGATTACAAAAACGAGCTCGTTCAGCCCCGAACTGAATTTGGTCCAACCTCAGTTTATTGAATTGAAACCTCAATTTATTGAATTCTCGAATCACTTCTAGTTATTTAGACTAAAATCAAAAACAACACATAGAGCATTGGAGTTAAAGTCATCTTATTCCCTACATATCTAAATGTGTCTGAAGCTAACTTAGAAAACAACCTTTTCCGTCCTCAGGTAAACTGACAGAACTGAGGGAATTAAATGTCAGTTACAACCGTCTATCCAAAGTTCCTCCAGAGCTCGGAAACTGTGAGAACCTGGAGAGGCTCCAACTGGCAGGAAACCACAATCTGTCCGAGCTGCCGTTTGAGGTAAGTTGACAGAACCAGTGCAGCTGTTTCCCCCTTTATTGGTGTTTTGTGCAAAGCTAAGCTAACTGTCTATAGCTTTGTTTTCATGGGTCTGCCATGAGAGCGGTATAAATCTGGACATCCACCTCTCTGTCAGCCGATAATGTGGAAAAGTAAACCCAACAATACATTATTGTCAGTTCAGATTTTGTTGTGATGATCTCACTGTGCTGATGATGTCACGGTCAGCTGAGCAGCCTGAAGCAGCTGGTTCACCTGGACATCGCGGAGAACAAGTTTATATCGATCCCCATCTGTTCTCTGAGGATGAGCAACCTGCAGCTGCTGGACCTGAGTAACAACCGTCTGACCGACCTGCCACAGGACATGGACAGGTAACTGATGACATCATCATTACATTGTAAATAATGGCAGACATTTGGAGAAATTTAGAGTTTAATTTGACACCTGAGAGCTGAGACATGTGAGCTGAAGTTAGACGAGATAAGCTTGTTACGTTTCCTTGCACTGTTCCTCCTCTACTCTGATAAACCGGTGAACACAGCGCCACAGGATTTGCTGTCAATCACTTGAGTTATACTCCCTTTTGCAGAATCATATAACTAATTAAAACTAAACTTCTCAGAAAAATTAACACTCAGACATAAATCAGCATTATTAGAACTGATTATAATAACAGAAACCTTGTTTAAGAAAAATGTATTTAAGGTGTATTTCCACTTTATAGTTAGACCCATGTCCCATCTGTTAACATGGAAGAGATGGAGTTTATGACCAACACTGCAACCAGTCAGTAGGAGGAGCTCCACTATTTAACACAGTCCATGGTATAAATACTGTAGAGTTCTGTGTGTGTGTCTGCAGGTTGGAGAAGCTGGTCACCCTGTTCGTCCATAAAAACAACCTTCCGTACCTCCCTCACTGTCTCTGCAACATCTCCACGCTCAAGATGATCGTCGTCAGCGGTGACGAGCTTAACTGTACCCCAACCAAACTGTGCTACAACCCTGAAATCAAGTATGCAAACACACCCGCACTACAACTCTTAAGTCTAAATACTAAACTGGTGACAAACCAAAAAAAGTTTGAGGGCAAGTTTTTGAAAACATGGAGAGACTAAAGCCTCCCTTCATGTCAGATATACAGTTTTATCATGGGAAAGCTGAGGTCATTGTAAGTGTCATGGACTTAAGTTCATCTTATATAACAGATACAACCAATACTGGGGTGTCAGACGATGTTACCTAGTGGTAGCATAAAAAAAACTGTTGTAGACCCAGGATTGAACCTTGTGGAACTCCACATGAATATTTGCTCTATTATGTTTTTTTCTTACAATTAAAAAAGAAAAAAGGAAAGTAAGAACAGATTCCGGTATGTCACAAGCGCTCGTCTCTGGTAAACTCCCTTTCTCTTCTCACCCGGCAGGTTTATTCGACTGTACGACAGCCCAACCAGTGAAGAGAAGAAGAAGAAGAAAGAGGAGGAGGAGAAGAAGAAAGAGAACAAGAAGAAGAGGTGGACACAGCCGAGAGAGGAGGAGGAGGTGAAGAAAGACAGCAGAGAGAAAGAGTTTATGGAGGCGTACATCAGCTCGTTGGAGGACAGAGGTAAGACACTAAGCTTCAGATTTCATTATAACCAACTCATTATTCATTCATATTTTCACCTTAAGGCTTTAAATATGTTTTTAATGGGTGAATGCTATGTTGACAAATTCTTATATTTCACAGTAAAGCTACAAAAGCTACTCTGATATTAAATGGAAATGTTTGTATTCTTATGTCAAGATGAAGAGTTTATTCATAATGATTAGCGATTATCCGATAAACAAGTGGACTTGTTGTTTGTCCCTCACAAGACGCCGTCCCCTACTCCACCACCAAGGTCACAATCTCCTGCCTGCTGTGAGGACGAGTAAGGTGAAGAAGAGAGAAAAGGAAATTTGAATGTCTCAAAGATAATATGAAGCTGCACTTGTCAAGAATTTCTTAAAAAAAACGTTAAAAAAACCTCAACAAACCTTGATAACTACTCAACGTCTATTGGAAAATGATCTTTATGCTGCAAAAGATTTCATTGCAATACCATGAGTGGCCACCAGGACTAACTAGAGGCATAGTGGTCTTTATTTTCGTTTATTGGATGTTCTAACATTTTCTTGACCTGTGCTAGAAGTCACTCATGTATTCACTGTTCCGTGTTAAAGACATTTAATAGACCATTTTATAATGAGCAGAAAATGTAGATTTTGGAAATGTGCTCACCAACATCATTTAGCATCATCACCTGGCTGCAGCTGAGGAGCCGCTTAACTTCTAATAAAACATCCACAAAAGCTCAACATGGATTAATAACTATTAAAGATTTGGGATCTTTAACTGTGGAATTAAAATAGACTTGACTACATGAATAAAATCTAAATTCTTTAAGTTCAGACATTTGGTGAAAATAAAAATCTGAAGTACAATCGATCATTAGAAACCCTTAGAAAGTTAAACTCAGATTCATATAAATTGATGCATCGTTATTGCTGCGTAACACAAATAAAAAATATTAGATCTCAGGGTCATTGGAGGTTATGTACCACCAGACTGTAGCATCATAGATGTACCTTATTTTAGTACCAAAAGAGAATATAGTTTGACACAGATAAAATATATATACCTTTTATTATATCAGTAAGGATCAGCATTGTCGTTGAAGGTCGTCCTGAAGGTTACAGTGAGCCGTGATGTTTGAGTCACTTGTTTTTATGTTTGGTAAGATTACATATGGATGGAGCTTTGTTAATTTCACAAGAGTGACAAATAATAAGAAAGGGAATAATTCATGTGAAGTTATTAATTTATGACTTAAAGGAGCAATATGTAACTCTGACACCTAGTGTTTAAAATGGGTACTGCAGTCCAGATTCAAAACATTGTAGAGAGCTGTCTCCCCCCGCCCCCTCCTCTCTAGAGTTGATGCCCACGCAGGTCACCATGTGGTGGACACTGAAGCTTCAGTGTTTATCCAGCTCTGCATCGGTCTGTAAACCTTTCTGCGTTCTAACCTCTCTCAATTTTTCAAAAGCATCTCCAATATTGATCCTAGTTTGAGCACGTTTCTGCTCGTGGAGCTTATTAGAAACATGCAGAGGCTTTTTAGGTCGGGTACAATCACTTCTATCTGAACCACTTCTCTTGCCCGCTTTCATCACTGCAACACCTGTTGACCTGATAACTGCTCTCATATCTGGGAAACCGAGGGGCGTCCAAAACGGCCGTGTGGGGGGTCGCCTTAAAACAGCCTACCTTCTCTGGTCCAAACAAATCCAGAGCATTCAGGAGCAGAATCTAAAGTTAGAAGGAGGACATACTGACTGCTGCATTGTTGTCAGAGAAGCCAGCACTTCAACATAGCATGTTTCCTTAATGTCTGATCATATAGTGAGGTCACTTTATCATTTCACTCACTACACATCTTACTGATTGGACCTTTAAAGTCAAAATTGGAGGAATTTCTTATTTTAAGTTTGTTAGTCCCTCAAGTTGAAACATGTTGAGAAAAATTTATTTAAAAAGAAAAGTCTAAATAACTGACAAAAAAAATCTTTACAAATATGTTATCGAAGAAACTTTTATTTACTAACTGATTTCATTCGTTATCATTTCGACTTTGGATTTTTACATCACTTAAAACATTTCAGCTTTTCCTTTCCATTGTTTCAAAAGTTTTGTTTTTGAACATTCACAGCACTTAGACTCCTGCTGAGTTTCTAAATCTTTTACTTTGTCAGTATTTGATTTATCAGGTATTTGAGAATCATTCTGAGGAGTCTTTGGTTTGTGCAGCAAACTCGATGACTTTAATGTTTCCTGTTTGTCTCATGAAGATTTAAATATTGTGACCAAACGAGGCTGAATGTCCAAAAAGTGAAAGATTTGTTTTTCAGGAAAAAGTGATTTACAGTTGAAACGGTTTGTTTGTTGACTCGACTAAATCACGAACAAGTAGTTTGCACATTTTCTGTTAGAGGGATGTTAAACTGCAAAGACGTTCTCACAAAGAGATCTCTTTTTATTGAACTGAAGAAAATGTGGAGAAAAAAAAAAATTTCACCATTGTATTTTGAGTGTCTCTGTTTGAGAGGGTTTCTGTGTGATGCTTTGATTGTAGTGAGTCTGACATTTTTATTTTGTAATAAAGTTCTGGTTTGCATTTTAGTCTAGGAATTTTTTTTTTACTTTAAAGGTCAAACCAGTTTAAAAAAGTCTCAGAGCACCTGAAAACGTGTGTGAAGTTTCTTGTTCTAAATCCACTCTGATCCTGTATTTGATTATGCTATAAACCCCTCTATTTCAGCCCTGCTCAGAACAGGCTGTTTCTGTGTCTATACCTTTAAATATGTAAATGAGCTGTGTCTGACCACGCCCCCTCCCTGGAAGGGCTTGGGTGTCTCGGGCTTTCTCGCTCCATGTCCTATTGTTGTAGACAGACTAGAGACACTTAGTGTTAGAGAAACACGGTGAAGTCGAATCTACATAATGTGACCTTTAATAAAATGCATTTTCTTGATTTGTCATCATAAAAACACAATAAATAAAAACAAACAAACAAGTCCATGTTTTAAATATCATACATTTCTTTATTATTATTATCATAGATATTATTCAAAATTATGTTCTTAACAAGATAAAAGAAAAGCAACTGCAAATACACGACACGTAGACGTCATTCAGCGTCTTTGTTTTGATATAAAAACAGATGTGAGCATGAATGATTAGAGGCACACGTTCAGAGAAATTAAAGTGCAGAAATCAGCAAATGTCCTGCATCATGTAGGAGGTGGGGGGGGGGTATATCTTTAAATATTGACTGCAGAAGTTAATATAACAATTATTAATCTAACTTAAAGTCTTATCAGTAAACTTAAGATTCATATTCAGTAACAAGAAAGCTTCAGTCGTTTTGTTCTCCGTCAGTCATCAGTACAGCTGCTGACGTTTTCTCTGGCGGCCAATAACAGTCAAATCAAGTTCAGGTTAAATATGAACACAAGTGAAGCTTCCTAAATATTTCTGGTTACATCTCTGATGAGGGAAAAGTTGGACACCGAGTGAAACATCAATGAAGCTGCTTTTTGAAGATTAGTCAGCGAAGACAACAAAGACAACATATGAAATGTTCAAACTGGTATCATTTGTTGTCTTAAGTTAATATGGATTTCATTCTGAGTTTGATGCCTGCAAAACCTTATTGTGACAGTCGGCTTTCAGGACTTTGTAGTTTAAAAATGAGAACTACATTCAGCTTTGATGTGTCCATATTTGTACTAATCATGCTTTGGTCTCTTAGTAAAATCGTTTTTTAGCGATTTAACTTTAAATTTAGCAATATGGAGACACGTGTAGCTTTGTAGATTTCCCCTGAAACCCCGCCCTCGCTCTCAAACGTTCCCTGCTCCACTTAAAATGAACACTCACACTCAGATATACGACGCCTCCTCTGTAAGACCGCCAAATTAAAGTCCTGACTAATTAAACTTCTGTTTGTTTGAGCGTGAGTAGAGCATATTTAAATGCAAGTTTTAGGGTGAGAGGATGAAAACATCTGGGCACAAGGTAATCGATAATCGATAATCTTGATAATCACGTTTTAAAGTCTCTGTTTAGTCAAGTCATACCGGATTACTGGTCCACAACTGGATATTACAAACACCAGAGCGTAATCAGCAGCCGTCAAGACAAACAAGATGTAGATCTTAACACTGGTGCATTCTGGGACATTGAGTTACAGCTCTGCAGGATTTCAGACGGACTATAAAAAGATACCGTCGGTCCAGCTTCCTGTTTTTTGACATCTTTAAGAAAGTACGATCAGCAGCGGAGAGAAATATGAAGCATGAGATCAGAACCAAGTCTCAGTGGAGTCGGGAAAGTTTCATGAACAGACGGAAAGAGTTTGTAAGGAAATGATTTAAAATGACTTCAGTCAGAGGGTTGGGTTTGGATTTTAGTTATCTGAACGACGACGTGTTAAAATGTGAGGAAGAGTCGTGATCGGGCATCATGAAGCTACACACCATCATCTTCCTCATCGTCAGGACTCTCAGGTGTTTTTGTAGCCGTGACGATATCAGTGCTGTGTTCAGGTCATGTTGTTAAAAAAAAAATCAATAACAGCCAATTCTGTTTGTCAAACATGGAGGGAGACATTTAATCTGACCGTGGACAGAAGTATCGGCCTCTTCTTCTGGAGGTTTGTCTGTTATTGTGACTTCAGCGTTCGCAGCTTTAAATGAGAAAAGGTGTGTTTTTTGTTTTGGAATGACATCGCTTGATCTCTTAACAAAAAGGTCAAAGTACAAAATAGAGAAACAGAAAATAAAAAACATGGCACGATCCGGTTCTAAACAACCTTCTGACTCTGTGAGGGTTTTAAAATCTAAATACAACAAGAGGATCAAGCTTTCATTGCACAGACGGCTCGACATCCATAAACAAACATCATCAGTAACTGGGAGCGTTTGATATGTGATTGGAGGAGCACTTTCAGGTCAAACAGCTCGGAGAGAGCCGACAAGCTTTACTAATTCAAGTATTTAAAAACACGAGAAGAGCAGACGATAAATCTGATCCTCAGAGAGTGATCTGCTGCGAGGAGTCACGGAGGGAAAATAAATCAGCATGAAGGATTTAAAAAAAACTCTTAACAGCTCTTTTGTCTGGTTTGTAACTTTTATTCTCTCTCCACGTCTCTGATGTAACACAGAGTTGTGTCGTCACACTTCAGGGTTTTGACTGTTAAACACAACGTGGTGTTGCTCTGACATCCTTTACTCGACAGGACAGTGGAGTGAAGGATGTCAGAGCTGCTTTTAAAAGTTTCAAAACAGCAGATGTGCACATTTATCTTCAAGCTTTGGTCTGACTGAGTTCTCTTTTTTAGTCTCATTCCCACTGTGTGATATCCTGGCTCTGTTTGGCATGGTACCAGGTACTTTTCAGGATTTTAATAATGGCAGACTTCTAGGCTGAAGGTAAATACAGCTGCTGTGACATCGATACAACATCAGAGACCAAACAGAGGAACGTGAGGACTCCATTACACACATTCACCAGGACGTCCTGTGTCAGTTTAAGGAATGATTACAGCGACACCTCTGTCAGATTGAGCAGTCTGCAGTGATTAAACTTCACCTCAGCTGACATGGCAAACAGGTAGAGCAGATACTTCAGGGTGAAGAGAAAAATATTGGCAATGGAAAGCAGTAAAAGGAAGATGTATGGAGTCAGGACATCCAGTGGAAATAAGACACAAAAGGAAAGAAGTCAGAACCCGTTATGAGATTCAGTAAAGAGAAGGAGGTTTTTAAATCCAGCACGCATGTTTTTCTCTTCCATGACACCGTCCAGCTCCACAAAAGTTAAAAACCTAAACACACTTCAAACTGGTTTAATTTATTTCCTAAACATATATAGAAGAGTTTCTGGTCTTACGCCATTTGGTCATCCTCCTCTGGAGACCAGGATGATGTCACAGCCTGTCAGGGTCTGCACATGCTCAGTGTGAGTGACGGCCATGTCAACTGTTGCCAGAGTAACAGTTATCCAGGAGAAATCTGACCTCGGTCGTGGAGATTATACATAAACAGTAACAACAGAAAACGACCCCGCTGCCCCCTGCAGGACTCTAAATCCCATGAGTCATCTCTCCAGCGCAGCTCTGACCTCATCGTCCTCTCAGTGTGTCCGTCATGACGGAAAGGTTTCTGCAGGCTGGACTTTGGGGATATTTTGAGTCAGCTGTGCGATGAATTCAACACACCTCAGCCTCCACGCTGCTGCTCCTGTTCAGCACGGGGAGCGCTGGATGTCTTTACCTCTGCAGATCAGACGGGTGGAGTTAGGTGAAG